ACGAGGGCATCACACATACATGTGTATGAGTGTCCACAGAGGCCAGAGGGCATCAGACCCCAGACCCCACTGGACCTGGACTTAGAGGGTCAGTTCAGGTCCTCTGGAAGAATATCAGATGCTCTTAAACACCAAGCCCTCTCTGCACAGACCCCCTAGAAATATAATACTGTCTATCTTTTACAGATGGGGAAGCTGAGACTCAGAGAAGATACTTTCTCAGGTTTTCCACAGCAGTTATCACAGTATATTACTTGTTAGGAATACAGAACCTCAAGTCCATTTTATTTCCTACTGTGAAGCTGTTTTGGGTTTCTATCAATACATAGACGCTTGGTAAACAGGGATGAACCATCTGCTTGAGGGATGGAGCACAATATGTTCCCATATATCAAGGAATAATGTGTGGTGGGTTTGTATTGTCGTTTTTCACAGGCATCATGAAGATGGAAAGGAACTTTTACACTGTATGTGTTCGTGGGCTCGGTTATGCCTGTGTAAACAGAAGACAACTAGGAAGAGTCAGTTTTCTCTTTCTGCCATGTATATCCTGGTGACCAAACTCAGTTGTCAGGTTCGGTCATAAGTATCTTTTTACCCATTGAGCCATCTTACCAATAGTTTTTTTTTTCTTCAGTAGACAGGATTTCACTGTAGCCCAGACAGCCTTGTGATTTTGGCAGTCTTTCTGCCTCAGCCTCTCAAGTGCTGTCACCACCATACCTGGACTGGAAAGGAACTTAAATACATCATTTAAACAGATTCAACACAATGCCCAGCAAAATCCCAGCAAAATTCTTCAAAGACCTTGAAAGAATGGTACTCAGTTTCATATGGAAAAACAAAAAACCCAGGATAGCCAAAACAATTCTGTACAATAAAATAACTTCTGAAGGTATCACAATCCCTGACTTCAAACTCTACAACAGAGCTACAGTACTGAAAACAGCCTGGTATTGGCATAAGAAAAGACAGGAGGACCAGTGGAACTGGATATTAATATACACATCTTCGAACACCTGATCTTTGATAAAGAAGCAAAAAATATCAAATAGGAAAAAAAAGCATATTTAACAAGCGATGCTGGCATAACTGAATATCAACATATAGAAGAATGAAATTAGACCCATATCTATCACCATACACAAAACTCAAGTCTAAATGGATCAAAGACCTCAACATAAAGCCAGCCACAATGAACCTCATAGAAAGTGGGAAATACACTTGAACGCATTGGCACAGGGAACCACTTCCTAAATATAACCCCAGCAGCACAGACATTGAGAGAAACAATTAGTAAATGGGACTTCCTAAAACTGAAAAGCTTCTGTAAAGCAAAGAACACAGACAAAAGACAAAACAGCAGCCTACAGAATGGGAAAAGATCTTCACCAACCCCACATCAGACAGAGGTCTGATCTCCAAAATATACAAAGAACTCAAGAAATTGGACACCAAAAGAACACATAATCCAATAAAAAAAAATGGAGTACAGACCTAAACAGAGAACTCTCAACAGAGGAATCTAAAATGGATGAAAGACTCTTAAGGAAATGTACAACATCCTTAGTCATCAGAGAAATGCTAATCAAAACAACTCTGAGATTCCATCTTACACCTGTAAGAATGGCCAAGATCAAAAACACTGATGACAACTTATGCTGGAGAGGTTGTGGGGAAAAGGGAACACTTCTGCATTGCTGGTGGGAATGCAAGCTGGTACAACCCCTTTTGATGTCAGTGTGGCGATTTCTCAGAAAATTAGGAAACAACCTTCCTCAGATATTCAATCGTGCCACAAGGATATGTGCTCAACTATGTCCATAGCAGCTTTGTTTGTCATAGCCAGAATGTGGAAACAACCTAAATGCCCCTCGATTGAAGAATGGATAAGAAAAATGTGGTACATTTACACAATGGAGTACTACACAGCAGAAAAAAATAATAACATCTTGAATTTTGCAGAAAAATGGATGGAGCTAGAAAATATTATTTTGAGTGAGGTAACCCAGACATAGAAAGACAATTATCATATGTACTCACTCACTGGTGTTTTTTAAACATAAAGCAAGGAAATCCAGCCTAGAAACCACAATTCCAGAAAACTTAGACAACAATGTGGACACTAAGAGAGACTTACATAGATATAATCTATATGGGAAGTAGAAAGTAGAAAAAGAGAAGATATCCTGAGTAAATTGGGAGCAAGGAGACCTTGTGGGAGGGTTGAAGGGGAGGGGAGAGGCAGGGAGAGGAGCAGAGAAAAATGTAGAGCTTAATAAAATATCAGTAAAAAAAGTGATGAGAAAAAAATGCATCATTTAAACATTGATAGGAATTTGCGTATAAAGCATTTGAATCCAGACAGTGTGTTACTCAGTAGTGACTGAAAGTTCCCTTGGTTGGTAAGATGGCTTGGTGGGTAAAAGGGCTTGATGTCAACTGGTGACAGGAGCTCAGTCTCAGATCCCACAGTAGAAGGAGATCCGACTCCTGAAAGTTGTCTTCTGACTTCAAAACACATGCGCTTACTTAACCAACACTGCATGCACCATATGTGCATGCAAACAACAATAACACATACATTTTTGAAAGAAATTCTCCTTTGAGATTCTTGGGAAGGGCCTGCTTGTTGTCCCAGCCACCCCACTAGCTTACACCCGAAATAATCACACAGAAACTGTATTCATTTAAACACTGCCTGGCCCTTAGCTCTAGCCTCTTATTGGCTAACTCTCACATCTTGATTTAACCCATTTCTAATAATCTGTATTTCACCACGAGGTCGTGGCTTACCGGGAAAGATTCAGCATGTCTGACCTGGCAGCTGGCTCCATGGCGGCTTTCTCTCTCTCTCTAATTTCTCTCTCCCAGAATTCAGTTCTGTCCTCCCTGCCTATCTAAGTTCTGCCCTATCAAAAGGCCAAGGCAGTTTCTTTATTCAACCAATGAAAGCAACACAAATACAGAAGGACTTCCTACACCATTGAGGGAAGGTAATAGTTTTTGGCATTCTAGGCAGCACCCTACTTAAGGTCCTGCCGTACTGTAGACCCTCATCACTCTATAGCAAACATAATTCAAAGACCCAAAGTGAACAAATAAGAAATTAGATAAGATGGAAACAGAAACTATTGAGAGCAGATTGAGATCTGTGATAGATGTAGTTCTTAAGACTTTCACAGGTAGGACCTAAATAAATAAATAGATAACCATAAAAGATTCCATTATGCCCTGATTGTAAGGAAAGGAAATTATTTAGTAGGTGCCTACCAGGTACTTTTCAGGTATGTTGTTTTCACATTGCATTGTGAGGGTTAATCTTTGAGTGTCAGCTTATCTGGGTTTGGGATCACTAAGGAGACACACCTCTAGGTATGTAAAAGTGAGAGAGAGAAAGCAAGCTGAGCACCTGGATTTCTCTTTCTCTGCTTCCTGATGGTGTATACAAGGTGATCAGCCACCTCATGCTCCCACTATCACATGCCTTCTTTCCATGGTGGTCTGCAGCCCCTCTTACATGGTAAGCCAGAGGAAACCCTCTCTCCTGTCTTAGTCAGTGTTCTTTTGCAAATATCTCTTCTTGCTCCTGTACTTCCACTGCACACATCTCCTCGCTCCTGTGCTGTCCACTGCACACATCTTTTCTTGCTCCTGTGCTGTCCACTGCACACATCTCTTCTCACTCTTTTGCTGTCCACTGCACACATCTCTTCTTGCTCCTGAGATATCCACTGCACACATCTTTTCTTGCTCCTTTGCTGTCCACTGCACACATCTCTTCTTGCTCCTGAGATATTCACTGCACACATCTCCTCGCTCCTGTGATATCCACTGCACACATCTCTTCTCGCTCCTGTGCTGTCCACTGCACACGTCTCTTCTTGCTTCTGAGATACTCACTGCATACATCTTGCTCCTGTGATATCCACTGCACACATCTCTTCTTGCTCCTGTGCTGTCCACTGCACACATCTCTTCTTGCTCCTGTACTTCCACTGCACACATCTTTTCTTGCTCCTGTGCTGTCCACTGCACACATCTCTTCTTGCTCCTGTACTTCCACTGCACACATCTCCTCGCTCCTGTGCTGTCCACTGCACACATCTCTTCTTTCTCCTGTGCTGTCCACTGCACACATCTCTTCTCACTCCTAGAGCATCTTGATCACACACCATAGCAGCTTAATACTAGGTCTGTCTTTCCTCCTAGACTTAGATGTCTGAAGGAAGGAATTATTTTCATATTTCTTTTCTAAGTTTCATGCAATATACAGCATGAAATAATTGTTTACTAAAGAAAGAAGGGAAGGAAGTAGAGCAAACTGAGCTATCCCATTGGGTTTTCTGAATAATTTTCTCTCATTGACTAATAAAAAGGATATGGAGGGGGCTAGAGAGATGACTCAGAGGTTAAGAGCACTGACTGCTCTTGTAGAGGTCCTGAGTTCAATTCCCAGCAACCATATCGTGGCTCACAGCTATCTGTAATGAGATCTGGTGCCCTCTTCTGGCCAGCAAACAGACAGACAAAACACTTTCTTATTATTTATTATTATACATAATAAATAAATAAATCTCTTTTTTTGAAAAGGATATGGGGTGTTAGAATTATAGAATTTGGAAAGGGGAATTGCTAAAACTCAAGTCAAAAAATGTAATCCCAGCACTTAAGAAGTAGAGGCAGTAGGGTTTATTATCACCCTCATCTACTCATAAGTTAAAATCCAGCCAGGACGACATAAAATTCTGTGAAAATACCACCCAAGCAAATAGATAAATAAATGGAAAAAATAAATTCAATAAAATTCTAGCCAAACTGCCCAGAAGGTGAGATAATTAAGTACCCGTGGTCACTCATCCTAGAAGAAGGGTATGGCTAGCATTGTCCAGTGTTTGGGTATAAGACACATCTTATTTTTAGTTATCTTATTGTTAGTTGAAGAGGACATTGTTAGTAAATAACAATATTGTTGGTTAACAAGAGACTTAAGAGCCATGGTGAGCACATTGTGATTTATCTCTCCTGTTGTCCGAGAGATATGTCTTTGTTACTGGTAATTTATGTAATTCATCATATTTTCCAATTCACGATTCCCAGAATTAGAAATACAAATTTTGCCTTTTTAGTTTGTAGAAAAGTGTTTAAGAAAAATTCTTACACTTACATCTGTTATCTGTGCCATAGGAAGTCTTTCTTCATTTGAATACAACTTTTGGCAAGCTTTCCTTATAAATGTTTGAATGTGTGCTCAAGAAAGCTACAAACCCTTAACTGAATAGCTGGCCACTTTTCAAAAAAAAATTGTGAGCTTTGATTCTCTGGTTTGGATGGTAGGAAATCCTGTCAATAAACTTAAGTCTTAGCCTGCATAGTGACATAACCTTAGCGCTTGGAAGATGGAGGCTGAAGGATCAGGAATTCAAGTTCATTCTTGGCTGGCTACATAGAAGGTTCATGATCAGACTGGAATACGTATCTATCAACAAACAAAAACAAAAATAATAATAAAAACAACAAAAACATGAAAACAAAAAAATTAAATTTGACCTTTTTAAAAGTAGTGTCTTTGCATGTCACTACATTTCCATCCTGCCCACTTGATATGAAAAGAGAAGCTTTGGGGAGATAAAGACATGTCTCCTCAATTAAGAGCGCTTGCTGCTCTTATAGAAGACCCGTGTTTACTTTTCACATCCAATGAAGCAGCTCATAACTGTCTGTAACTCCAGTTCCAGGGGACCTGGCACTCTGTTTAGGCTTTCTGAGGTACCAGGCAGGTACATGGTATACATACATATATAAAAGCAAAACACTTGTACACATAAAATAAAAAATAAATCCTTTTTAAAAAGATACAGAGAGCCAGGCATGGTAGCAGGCCTTTACTTGTAGCACCTGGGGAGGTAGAGCTAGGAGGCTCAGTAAGTCAAGACCACTGATGGCCACATAACTAGCCTGACCACATAAGAGATGTTTTACAAACAGTAAATAATAAGGAACATAGTTGGCATAGAAATCTATGATTTGGGTAGGTTTGTCAGACTGCACTCCCACTGGAATGGTTTACAGACTAGAGGGCTATCAGAAGACTTCCTCGCAGGTCTGTTTCCTATGCTGGACATGTAGCTAGGATTTCCTGTCACTATGCTGTGTCTCCATCTGATCTGCAAGCAGCCTGACAGCTTCAAGTCAGGCAGGTTTTTGTTGTTGTTGTTTTAATCTAGGAAAAATACTTATTCAGTTTTAAAGTAAAATTATAAAAACCTATCATCTTAGCTTATTTTAGAAAATGAAAGACATGCCTAAATTCTTCCAAAAGAATAAAGTATTTTACCTTCTCCCAACTATTTATGAGGATATTAACAATCTTTTTAGTTTTTAACCCCAAGTTTCAAGAACACTTATAAAAAATTGTTTTGGTAATGTTGTCTCAGCCAGACAGTGGTGGCACACGCCTTTAATCCCAGCACTTGGGAGGCAGAGGCAGGTAGATCTCTGTGAGTTTGAGGCCAGCCTGGTCTACAAGAGCTAATTCCAGGACAGGCATCAAAGCTACAAAGAAACCCTGTCTCAAAAGAATCAAAAAACAAAAAATTATTTTGATAATGTTATCTCAACAAAAAGTCTCTCCATTTATAGTGCTGACAAACTGACTAGTGCAAGAAATTATATACACTATATTTTTAGCTGCTAATGTGTCTTGGTAGAGTTCAGGTGGTGCTGGGGAAGGGAAAAGGCGTTTGCCTTCCATTCCTGTATGCATGCAGCGAGCAGTGAATAAAGGTACCCAGCCTGTACTCAGCTGTGTGTTCAGGTAGCAGAAGATCCACATGCTGAGTTTCTCGGCTGAGAACTCCCATTTGCTGGGCCCCCACTACCCTTCAGGATACTTCTGATTGTCCATGTGACCAGCTTTCCACAGCCTCACACAGTGGCATCTCCTGAAGATGCCAGTACTGTTCCTGCTATAGTCTAGCTTACCTGCCAGACATGAGAATTATGATTACCAAACTGAGCCACAGTCTGGATTTAAATTACATTGGCCCACCAGAAGTAAGCTCTTTCTTCACAAGTCTTAATGTGAAAATTCTTATTTCTTTAGTTGCTGTTGCCAGAATGTGGAAAGGTCTTTCCAAATTTGAAGCAAATACAATGTCATGAACAGGATCAGTGATGGTCATTAGAGTTTCAGCTTTGCATTATTTGTGGTGTTTTCGCTGTAGTAAAAACTCTGATCCAGGCGGTGATTGCGCACCCCTGTAATAAAACCCAAAGAATCAAAAGCAAACCCCCGAACCTCGGCCATTGCGTGGACTGGACTAGTGCTGCCACTTCCCGTAGCTGGAAGTGGTCCAGGAGACGCAGCTACAGCTCAGTTTACACGAGCTCTCACTCTGCAGAGCGCTGGCTGGGATCCATAACATCTGGTGCCTCGCGTCTTCTTCCTACACCATCTGCTGAGCAGGTCGCTAGAGTCAGACCCATATGCATGGGAGCAAATTTCACATCAGTAATGGACGTTCTGCTGTCTGCTAGAGTTTGTCCTCTTCACCCAGTGACTATCTTCACAGTTTATCACTTGATTCTCCTGCTATTTCTTCCCACACAGCAGCTGTTCAGTCAAGAGAACAGGAAGCCAAAACCTGTCCACATTCAGGATGCGCCGTGTGGCACACCATGCAGGTCACTGCGCGTCTCTCATCTCGCAGTGCAATGCCAGTCTCCACCTGGCTTTATCTCAGACCTTCCTGAGACAGGGGAAGCACCTCTCCCTGCGGGCACTGACGTTTGTCAAGTACCGCTAAGCCTCAACATTCTGGTCAGTTGCTGGAGCAGATGCCTTCTGGTACCTGTGGAAGTTGAAAGACACATTGTAAATGATGTCCTTGTGGTCCACTGTGATGCTGCAGGCCACAGACATGGCCGTCGCCACCTGGTTTCTTATTTGTTGCTTCAAAACTTACAGAACGTGACCAGAGGTGGAGCTGTCGTTTTTAGCCTTGTCATCTGTATCATTATGTATCAGTGAGAGGTGGAGCTGTCGTTTTTAGCCTTGTCATCTGTATCATTTGTATCAGTTGTCACTGCTGGTGAATTTTATTATAGGGATTGAAAAAAAATTAACTGTTTATTCTTATTCAGTCATGTTAGACCAAAGCCACCCCAAGCCTCTGTGTGTTTCACACTATACGGTAGAGTTGAGTCAGTGTGACAGATTTGGTTGTCCAGAGATTCAAATAGTTATCTGACTCTGTAGGAGAAGTATAATCTGTCACAAAATGAACCTTATTTAGGTCTTTTAAAATCTCTGTTATGAATAATTGAAAATATGTTGTTTTACCCTTCCGTTTTAGTAAATAAAAAGGTTTCATTTTCAAAGTTTATTTTTCTAGGATAAAGTATCATCCTATTTTGCTGTTCAAAATAGCAAAAGTGATGTCAGCATCTGCAGGACCCTTCAACCAGAAGCACATCTTTTCAGAGATTTCCACTCACAAAAACCTAGAATCCTTGACTTTGTCCTTAGAAAAAGTTTCATGATTGGTCTATATGGAGCAGAGTTGGAATATATTAAGAGATTTTTTTACATAGAGATACTCAGGGAAAGGGTAAAATAGATCAACTTTTCAAGGGAGAATCACACTTAGTACCTTTAAAATAGCCAGTGTGTCTGGGTGTGATGATGTACCCCTTTAATCCTAGCATTCAGTAGGCAAAAGCAGAACCTATCAGATTTCTGTGAGTTTGAGGCCAGCCTGGTCTACAGAGAGAACAGAATTCTAGGACAGTCAGAGCTACATAGTGAGACTCTGTATAACCTCCCGCCCCCCCAAAAAAAAAAGAAAAAGAAAGACAAATGTACATTTTGGGTATCGTATGAAGTTGTAGCTCTAAAGGGTTGCCGAAGAACTTAAAAATGAGGTCAGAGAGAGAGAACTGTGACAAACTTGGGCAGATTACAGCTTGGGAAATGATTCTGTGTACATGGGTATTTTACGTACATGTATGGCTGTGCGGTACTGGTACCAATGGAGGCCAGAAGAGGGCTTAGGATCACCAGGAACCGGAGTGAGCAGATGGTTGTAATCTATCATATGGGTAATGGAAATCAAATTCTGGTCTTCTAGAAGAGTAACCCAGTGCTCTTAAATGCTGAGCCATCACTTCAGCCCCATACGCTGGATTTCTTGTTTTTCACTTAACAGATTCTTCAGACTCTGGAGCATGGGGACTCCTTTCTTTTCTCATGTCTCCTTAATTTTCTGTTCTGCATAGGATAACTTTTGTTTTTATTTTTATTAAGTTCTTTTTCACTAATCAAAATAGCCTTCACCTCCCCCCATGAAACTGTTATAATTACTATAAAAATAGTACTTAAAGTTGGGCGTGATGGCACACATCTTTAATCCTAGTACTCAGGAGGCCGAGGTAGATGAATCTGAGTTCCAGGATTCCGAGATCTACACTGGGAGTTCCACGCCAGCCAGGATTGTACAGACCCTGTCTCAGAGATTGTAAGGTGTCCCAGCGTGTTGTCTTCAAGTCTTGTTCAAGATCAGGGCGCTTTTTTTTTTTTTAACTGAGTTACTGAATCAAAATCAAAGATCTCATTCTCTGTTAGAATTTAAAAGATATTTTACATGTATTTAGTGTTGGGGTTTTGTGTGCATCGTGTGTCTGTCTGTCTGTGTGTCTGTCTGTGGAAGTCAGGAGACAGCTTTCTCCCTCCACCATGTGGGCTCTGGTGGTAGAACTCAAGCTTTACAGCGACCCCTTCTACCTGCTGAGCAGTCTCTCCGACTCTCTTCTTCTCCTTCTTCATAAAGCCCTCTTTGTGTAATACCCACACCGTGAATATTTTTCCACGTATGTTTACATCTATTTTTAAAATACATTCTTTTGTTTGTGTGTGTGCACGCATGTAGAAGTCAGATGATAACTTGTAGACGTCAGTTCTCTTTTTACTGTGTGTGTCCCAGGAGTTGAACCAGGGCTGAGACTTGCAGTTGGAGATAGCACCTTAACTGCTGAGCAAAGTCAGCCCCACATCTATTTCTTTTTTTTTAAATATTTATTTATTTATTATGTATATAATATTCTGGATATGTGTGGATTCTGCAGGCACCAGACCTCATTACAGATGGTTGTGAGCCACCATGTGGTTGCCGGGAATTGAACTCAGGACCTTTGGAAGAGCAGGCAATGCTCTTAACCACTGAGCCATCTCCAGCCCCCCCACATCTATTTCTTTTGAGAATATTTTATCTATGTGTACATGAAGAATTACACTATGTTTCTAATTTGAAACTGTCGCTAAAGTTAAATCTGGGTTAGACTAACCCTTTGTATCCTGTTAAAAAGAAAATAATTTCCTTTTTTTCTGTTTTGAAGTGATGCATGTACCCCTGTCTCCACAGCTGTGCATGCCCCAAGGGCTGTCGTTCAGAACACAAGCTGACAATAAAGAGCCCCAGTTCCACTCGTTCATCATCACCCGGGAAGATGGTTCTCGCACCTACGGCTTTGTTCTCACTTTTTATGAAGAAGTCACAAGTAAGCAGATCTGTACAGCGATGCAGACGCTGTACCAGATGCACAATGCTGAGCAGCATGGTAGTGTGTACGCTTCATCCTCCTGCAGTATGGACTCGCTGGCAAGCAGTATTGACGAGGGAGACGCAACCTCTCTTTTGAAACTCCAGCGATACAACTCTTACGACATCAACAGAGACACCTTGTATGTTTCAAAAAGTATATGCTTGATCACACCTCTGCCTTTCATGCAAGCCTGCAAGAAATTCCTCCTCCAACTGTACAAGGCCGTCACCTCTCAGCAGCCACCACCCTTGCCCCTTGAGAGCTACATCCATAATATTCTCTATGAGGTACCCCTTCCTCCTCCTGGGAGGTCACTGAAGTTTTATGGTGTTTATGAGCCTGTCATCTGCCAGAGGCCTGGGCCCAGTGAACTCCCTCTTTCTGACTACCCTCTCCGCGAGGCCTTTGAACTCCTGGGATTAGAGAACCTCGTTCAAGTGTTTACCTGTGTCCTTCTGGAGATGCAGATCCTTCTGTACTCACAAGGTAGGTGTCCTTGGCACGGGTTTTCTAAAGCAAGTGCTCATGCCCTGCGCTACCTATTTCCTTGTGGATTCAGTTAATGACCTAAAGTCTCTTCTGTTTTACATAAAAGAATAGGCTTGGGCGAGATGAAAAACTGTTTTGTTTCTATTTGAAGTGACAGTGACTGCAGAGATAAACACGAAGGAATCGAAATTGTTGTGTTGACCAATTTGGGTGTATTTATTTGTTTATATTTTTAAATGAAAACAACTCTTTATCCACAACATATAATCATTAGATGCATTGAAACCTGTCACTCTCAGTGACTAGTGGACTTTCTTTTTATTTTTTCAAGACAGGGTTCCTCTGTGTAACAGCCCTGACTGTCCTGGAACTAGCTCTTGTAGACCAGACTGGCCTTGAACTCACAGAGATCCACCTGTCTCTGCCTCCATGCGCTACCACCACCCAGTTTGGACTCTGTTTCTTTATTTACAAATTGACAAACTTTTACATGGAAATTCAGGTGGCGTTTGAAAGTAATAAATGCAATGTTTACTCTGCAACTTCCTGAGGCAGATAACTTTGGACATTTGCCAAAGTTATGAGTGAAAAAGAGTTGTGCAGGTAGGAAACAGATGTGCCTCCCCAGACCTAGCAACAGATCTGTAAGAGTTGTGTGTAATTGTGTTTTTCACCTCCAAGTCCCAAACGATATTATCTTTATTGTATCTTTTATTCAGTGTGTCCCAACACAGATTTACTTAAGATACTAACAAGTTGAATTTTGTTTCACTAGTATTTGACTAGTGAATGACTGATATTGAGCCTAGACTAGGATACCTTTTTCCATCTGAACATGAGTTTACAGAAGTAGAGATGTTATGTCATAAAGCTACTGAATTGTTGGAAATTGTAAACTAGCCATGTGCACTGTTGAAACTTTGGAAAATATGGCACAGATATCTGGATTAGCATTTTGCTAGTTTGTATTTAGGCTGGCAGAATTGTGGAACAGTCTCCCTACTGCTGCTGTCATGTTTATTTTTTCACTTTATTTTTTTATTTTTCTATTTTAAATTATAAGTGAAACTGAGCCAAGCAGGCTGTATTTATGCTTCCCCGTCTTGTGTGTATTGACACTATTTGTGTGTTGACAGAACGTCAGAGGTTTCTCACTTTATCCTACATGATGTTTTTGATAATATGCTCAGTGTTGCACTTTGTTACCAGGGAGTGCTGCAGTGGCCATCTAGGGTCTTTGTTCCTTTTGCCCTCCTTCTTAGTGCTCATTGATACTTGTTAATTACCTGCTTGACACTTTGTTACTCTTTTCCCTGGAGAGGTTGTGGCCTTGGAGAGTTGCGCAATGTCAGTTGTCAGTGTCGGGTTTTGGGATTAGAAATGTTTAAATGGTGAAGAAATGGGTCAGTGGTTAAGAGCTGGACTCTTGCTGGTCCTGCAGCTGACCTGGGTTGATTCTCGACACTCACGTTGCAGCTCACAACTGCCTGTAACTCCAGTCAGGATCTAAGACCTTTTGATCTCCAAGGACATCGGGCACACATACGGAACACAGACATACATTCGAGCAAAGCGCTCAAACACCTAAAAGAAAATAACCTTTTTTAAAACGTTTAACCAGTATTGGTTTTAGAAGTCATAAATGCCTGTCCCTTATTAACTATAAGCCCTGCAGGTGACTGACTAAATTTTCAGAAGTCTTAGTCCCCCCCATATCTCTGGGATGTTTTTGCCACCCGCACCTGATTAATTGTGGAAGTTAAATGAGAAGGCCTATCTAGAATTTTTAGACTATGTGTGATGTTCCTTTTATCCAGGGGGAAACTGAGGCCTAGGGGATAGGTAGCACAAGTGAGTAAATAATGGGGTCGTTCCAAATATAGGCTTCCATCCATTGTGTCGCTAACTGTCCTGGGCCTGTATATAACCCCTCCCTACGTCTCAATACTTATTTTAAATTACTTACTCATTCTTCAACTATATGATAACTGTATCATACTAAATGATACTAAAATATGAAACGACAGCTTTGTGTAGATGCAATTTTGGTGGTTTTTAACACTGATAATGTCTCTCCCCTTAGAGAAAGACACTAAAATGAACACATTCTAAAAGAGTCTTTATGTTGATTTGCCCTCTGGTGCCCTTGTTCATCCTCTGTGATTCTGTGTAAGGGGGTTTAAGTATATTTGCTACTTCATTTCTTACATATTGATAAATATATGCCATACAAGTTTAAAGGTGCTTAAGAACCAGACAATTAGCATGGAAATCCAAAGCGACTCTAAGTAGATGGATTTCAATGATGAAAGTGTTCATTAAACTGATTTAAAATTTTAATCCACAGTTTATTTAGATGGATTCAGTGTGTTATCTAGAGAGTAATTCTGTCACAATCTTTTTTCAATGGCTATAAATTTTTAAGTAGAGAATGCACCCAGGAAGTCAAGACTGTTTCCTAGTACCTTATATCAGAAGAGTGTCTGAAGGTTACATGAAGCTGGACATGATCCTCTTTTCAAAAGAACAGTGGAAATATAAAAGATGGAGAATTTAAACACCAGTGTCTGACTTTTGGTGCCAATAATTAAAACCTCCAGAATACTTTTGGGTCTTGCTTACGTACTCCTTTGGTTCTTCACAGAAATAAGCAGTTACTGCCGCCTACACCAGCTCTTGTTCCTGTTCCCGTGCCTCTGCAGGGCTCCTCTGCCATCCCATAGTACTCTTCTCCGTCACTAGTTGTTGGAAAGTAGAAGCTACTTGGAGATTTTTTTAAAATGTTGGAAGTCTTTTCATTGTTTATTGCAGTCATGCCAAAGTAGACCTTGTTTGTTGGTTATAGCTTATTAATCATAAAACAAATCAAATATTTTGATAGAAAGAAGCTATGTTTCCATGACCTTGATCCAAAAAGCAATATAATTTAACCAACTAATATTTTAGTATTACTAGATTTGGGAGCTGGGGGGTGGGGAGTTGCCTTGAACGTGTTAGGCAAGTGTTCTACCAGTGAGCACATCTCCATGTCCTATTTTATGTTAAACTTAACCTTAGAGTCGTTAAAATTGTTTCTCTTTTTTGTTTGTTTGCTTTTTGTTGTTGTTTTTCCAGACAGGGTTTCTCTATGTAACAGCCCTAACTGTCCTGGAACGAACTATGTGACCAGGCTGGCCTCAAATTCTGCCTCTGCCTCCCAAGTGGTGTGAGCCATTACTGAATGGCTTTTTTTTTTTTTTTTTTTTTTTTTTTTTTTTTTTTTTTTTTTTTTTTGAGATAGGGTCTCTTGTGGCCCTGGCTGGCTTTGAGCTCTGAGGATAACCTTGAACTCCTAATTCTCATTTCTCTACCTCTCATTTCTCTACCTTGGGGTTACAAGCGTATGTTACCATGTCTAGCCCTATTTGTGCTGTTTTTAAAGCGGTAAGGAAGATTTTATTCAAGCCTATAATATTTATTTATTATTGTTGGAACCCACAAGACTACACAGTGAATACACATCTGACAGACCAATAGGCAGATCCACGGGAAGTGTGTACGCATATGTCCACATGTAATAACCCGGTGCAGAGCTGTGGAAACACATGTCTTTTGAGAAAGTCGCTGTCATATCTGGGGAAACCTTGTGAAGCCATTGTTCTTCCCTTCAAAATGGGATTCATTCCCAGAACACCTCAGCAGTATAACCTCTGCAAGGGCAGTGGAGTGACCTTACTCCACTTCTACACACCAGGAGACCTTGAAAGGAAGGAATTCACCCTTTGTTCTAGCAGCCAAATTTACATAGAATCAATTCCTTAACATTACCTGCTAACAGACCACACAGAAATTTCTATAGAAGACAGGTGCTGAGCAGGAATGCCCCACCTTTGCTAACAAACAAATCTGGACCACCCCAAAGCTGGTTATCACCAAAGAGATTAGATGAGGAGAAAGGGTGAATCCAGGATTCAGGGATGTTAGTAACTCTATCTAGTGGTTTGGAATGTCAGTACTGTCCCTGAATGCTGACTCTTTCCTGGGCCTGGTCACCTGCTCTCGAGTACCACTTTGTCATAGTGTCGTTGTCCTTGCCTATGGAATTTTCCAACTACGTCTATAAAAACTAGAAACCTCATGGGATCAGTTCTTAGTATTACTCTTTATTCTTCTTTTCCTGCCTACTTCTCCTTCCTCCCTTACTCTCCTTTCTTCTCCTTCCCCTTATTCTTCTTCTCCATGCTCTTTCACTTCACTTTCTCCTCTTGCATGATAAAGAACACACAGAGGTAACATACCTGAGTTAATCTATTTTACCCTCAGATCCTCGCCTGCCACAGACGTTTAATTCTGAGCCCTGTGGGGAGTACTGAGGCTGGTACTCAAGGCCCCCCCATAGTCAATTGTGATAGATGTATGGGACTACCCTATGCAAGCAAGCATGCCTTTAATAGTCTGATTTTATACTGCCCATGTATCTGACCATATGACAGAGTCATGAGTTAGTAAACACCTTTACCATATGTCTGCTCTTTTATCGCTGCTTGAGAAACACTGCGTGATTTATTCAATCCACTGAGCCGATTGGTTTTTAGTTTCTCAGTTGTCGTAGTGACCTTCTAAAACAGTGTGTGTTCATTTGCTTTGGAGCTGCCATTCATAAACCAAGTAGCCTTTTTCTTTTTTCTTTCTTTCTTTTTTTTTTTTTTTTTGCCTGTCGAGCGGTGTTGTGTCCAGATGACAGTGGAAGCTGGCAGATCCTGCTCATTTCCAGTCAACCCTAAAGGAAAAGAGATGCCCTGTGTTATACTCCAGTGTTAACGAAATCCAGTATAAACTATTTCCATTTATTTCATTATGCAACTTTCCCTTCTTTCTGACCTTACAAGATACCATGAATATTTCAAGTTTGAAGATCATTTGATGTACTTCGGTCGTGGGTACTATTTGGCTTAATTGCAAGCTCATAGTTGCTCTTCAAATGGAAATTCCGTAGTCCTGCAGTAGTTACTTCTGCC